CCTGCTGCCAAGAGCCCTCCCATAAAACATGGGAGTATGGAAGCCCTCTTTGATTTTCAGGCACACAGTAGGGTTTCCATGAATCTTTTGGAGTCTTTGCACTGGACTTCTGAGCTAAGATGAAGTATGTGTGCCTTTAGCAACTCAAAGAAGAGGACTGAATATATTTTACATTATGAGATGGACATGAAAGCTTTATGTCCAGGGATAGAATGATTAGTGTGCATCATTTTCCTCTCAACATTCCATGTGCTAAGTATGTTCTGCTGCCCCTTTGGCTGTGAGGGAGTGGAGAGCCCTTAGGACATGGGGACTCATGGAATATCCATCAATCACTGTGGACAGGCCCTGCAAGGGGACTGTCAGACCCCATCTCTTCCTCCCTCCCTTTGGGTCATTCAAACTAGGTGAGTGGCTGTCCCCACAGTGGCTCTCTGCATTGCCCCTGGCACAAACACAAACACACACACACACACAACCCTCCTGCACACATACACACATACAGATATATACACACATGTACACAGATTCACACGTGTACTGTGCAGCCTGACCTGAGACAGGTGGAGAGAGACACTCCTGACTCCATGAGAGAACAGCACGGGATGATCTGGGGCACAAGAGGCCTCCAGGTTCTCCATGATGGGATCCAGGGAGACACTGATCACCTGGAGAGAAACCATCCACTCTCCTCTGCTGCTCTGAAGGGGGCACCTGAGCTCCTGTGTGCAGAGCGCCCCCTGCTGGCCCTGGGCACCCTGCAGGAGGTTTGTGTCTGGGCTCACACTGAGGTCCCCTCACTGTGGCTCTGGCACAGTAATAGGTGGCCGTGTCCTCGGTGGTCATGGAGCTCAGCTGCAGGGAGAACTGGTTCTTGGACGTGTCTCTGGAGATGGACACTCGGCTCTTGAGGGATGGGTTGTATTTAGTATCACCATCATTACGTATGCCTCCTATCCACTCCAGCCTCTTCCCTGGGGGCTGACGGATCCAGCTCCAGCGGTAACTACTGGTTGTGATGGAGAATCCAGAGACAGCACAGGTGAGGGACAGGGTCTGCGAGGGCTTCACCAGGCCAGGTCCTGACTCCTGCAGCTGCACCTGGCACAGGACACCTGGGGACAAA